AAACACAAAGCAAGACAGCCCCACACTATCCTGGCCTGGAAAGGCTGAGTCAGTGTGGACTCCACCAGCAGGGAAGGAGGCTGCTGTTGCTAGCTGTGGTGTTGGTTGGAAAACAAAATAGCCACCCAGGGCTATTTGCTGAGATAATCGTCTTCAGAGATGCTGATTAATCATCAGGGGAGAGGGCTAAGATGGAGGCTAATAGGGGATGGAAGTGAGGAAAAGGGTGAGAGAGACAAGGATGGATGTGGATGCATCACAGAGAAGATCCTGATCACAGCCTCCCAGCTGCTCCCAGTCTGGAAAGTTTGACAGCAGCCATTCCTCCCTCCACGACTGGGATCTGACCTGAGAGGGGGCTCAGCAGTCAAATGCAGGTCTCCTTATCTCCCCATCCTCTTCACAGAGATCCCTTCTCCTGTCGGGATGTAGAAGGGCTATGTGTCCATCCCACATCGGCATCAGGCAACAAGCGAACCATACAGCCATCCTCTGCAACAGAGAGGGCACTGCTGGAAGGAAGTTCACCACACTGGAGTCCAACCTCAATGGAGGCAACGTAGTCCAGTGCGGAGAGGGTGCTGGGCTAGGAATGAAGAGCCCTCTGGGCTAATCCCAGCCTTGTCACTGATCTAGGGGAAACCTCTGTACCTCGCCTTCCCCTCTCGTCTATTACACTGTACACACTCTGGGGCAGAAGCAATATATATATGCAGCATCTAGCACAACGATGCTCTGATCTTTGTCAAGGCCTCAAACATAATACGATTGGGTATTATATAGGTGCTGTTAAAATAAGGTTGTTTGCCCCCCTCTTTAGAAGAGGGTTTTGGGGATCCCCCAGAACGGGACCCACAAAAGATGGCACTGTCATGAAGAAGCTCAGGCTGCTGCAGTCCCTGCTAGTGCAGGACCAGGAGGAAGCCGAGCCCGGAGCTGCAGATCTCTTTTTCACTGCTTTACATATTACATGCAGTGGCAGCCAAAATCTTCCAGCATGTCAGTTAAAGCCTTAAAATGAAGTGACCTGACAGCAGAGCCCCGGCTGAAGTGTAAACATCATGTCGCCATTAACATGTGCAGCACATTTGCCCTATTGATTTTAATGAATTTAAATTCTGCCTCATTTCTTGGGATGCAGCTTCCACTCTAGTTCCAGCTCCACCAACACCGTGCCGGGCTCGGAAATCTCCCACACAATCAAGCCTCAGAGCCCCTCCCTTCGGGGATACCTACCCTCCCCCCCTGTCTCCCTAATGCCACCCACGCCTGGAGCTAAGCCACTCCAGGCTTTGATCAGGGCATCTCTCCCCAGCCCAACAGTGTCAGCCATCGGCAGGGAGACCTCAGGGGTCTTGCAGCAGCGCTGCAACTGCTGGGGGTTCAGTAGGGGGTGCTCCTCCCTCTGAGTCCATATCAAACTGATGCCCATCATTGTTTCCTGCAGGGCAGTCAGCGATTCAGGAGGGAGGCGCTCTTCTCTTGGAGTCAGTGGTGCTAGCAGGTGCTGTGACTAGAGAGAATGCAACCATCTGTGGTGATTAACAAGCCCACAGCCCTTTTTGCAAGGGCAGGGATATTAGCCCAGGAATGCTGCTGGCCTAAATTGCCCTGAGGGGATCCTTCTTTGCCTCCTGCTCTAAATTGTACTGCAGTGCTGCTACATGGCTGTTAAGCAGCTGCCATGTCCCACCACTGAGGTGGCTGCATTTCAGTGCTGGGTGAGCGACCCCTGTATACAAGTAGCTGCCATGCCACTCCCCTCCACCTCAGAGGCAATTGCTTCTTAGGGATCTCTGTATAACAAGCTGCCATGACTCACTCCAGAGGTGGCTGCACCTCAGCACTGAGTGAGCAACCCTGTATAACCAGCTGCCCCATTGCACCCCAGAGACAGCTGCATCTCTTGCACTGAATGAGCAGTCCCTCTTTAAACAGCTGCCTCCTCTCACCCCTCAGGCGGCCGCATCTTGGCGCCAGATGAAGTGACTCGAGCGTATCTAACCTCAATTTATTCAAACGTCCTGACTATATTTGGACCCAGGAGATCTTGGGTAACAGGGAATTTTCCTCATTGCTGAGGGACCTGTGACCCCATCTCAGATAACAGGGAGCTGTGGATAATTGAAGGTCAGATAATTAAGCTTGCCCTGGATGCGAGAACCTTGTGGGATTCCTCAGGATGCAACCTGCTGTAGCTACACCCTTCATTATCAGCAGCAATCCCTGCTCCAGAACACTGGCGGGGTGCATCCAGCTGTGAGCTCAGCCTGTGCTACCTTCTCTCTACTCCAGCTGTGCTCCTGCCTCTCTCCCACTTGCTCTGAAACCATCGTTTCCGGATCCAGCCCGCCTGCAAGCTCCCCATCCATCTCCCTCCTCCTGCCAGGGCCTTTTCCAATTTGGCAGCCGCCCGCAGCACTTGTCCAGATTAAGAAAACACTGCCAGCCAGCCGTGAATTTGTTAAATAAAACTGTCAACCAAGGGCTGCGGCTGCCTCGGGGCAGAACCAGATCAGTCCCACAAATGCGGACACAGGAGCAATTCCTTCCCCATCTGCCCCGGGTCCTCTCCTAAGGGGCAGCACGTCAGCCAGCCAGCCCACCCCGCCCCATCCGCCACTGCCCACCCCAGCCATACATGGGGCAAGCGCTTCAGACCCCAGCTGGGTCTAGGTGCATGGGGAGACCTTGTGTAGTCACCCCTCTTGACACCCCACTCCTTTGTCCATTTTCTACTGAGATTGCAAGCTCTTTGGGACAGGGACCTGTCCTCTGACAGAGCCCTGTCACCTCCAGCCCTGAAAAGGTCCCTGCATGGGGGAGCAGGTTTAGAGGGGGAACCAGGGGTGCTGCTACCCTGAGCCCTCCCCAGAAATGCCAGGCCTGGGGAAACCCTTTGGTGCAGGCCCACCTGCAGCACTCACGAAAACAGGGCACGAGCACCTGTGTGCTCAGGGCTGCCCCCTGCTGGCAATGGTGGCTAGTAGGGGGATTCCATCAGCACAGCAGCATCCTTCCTACCCCCAATCCATGCAGGGGAGGTAGATGCTATCTGGGGGGTGCAGGGCAGGGGTGAGAGGAGCTGAGGTTGCAGTGTGCAGGGGCAAGGGAGAAGAACGAGACCCCGATCCTACGATCACTGCCACTCCTCTGGCTGTGATTGTAAAGGGGATGGAGGAAGAGGAGTGGATTGTTCTGAGTGGCAGGGCAGATTGATGTAGAAGCAGCTCAGGGGCACTAAATGAAAAGCTGACTCTCTAATTCCCTCCACCCCTGGCAGCTGCAGAGCTGCATTGTATCCTAATTAGTTTCTTTCTATTAAAGCTGAAACCTCCATGGAAGGGGGGGGGGAGAGGGGAAGAACGGTCAGAGCAATTGCCAGAGCAGTGAGATGTCCCCTACCCACTCCTCACACTGTGCCCACAGGGGAAAGAGAGTTAACTCTTTTAGACAGGGCTGCTCTGAGCTGGGGGGTGAGGGGTGGACTGGAAAGCAGGGAGGCTGCAGCAGTTCAGGGTGCAGGGCATCGGCAGAGCTGTGTGCGGGGAGCCCGGGGCACAGCTAGCGAAAGACCTCCCATGTCTTTCAGCCGAACCCCAGGAGGGACATTGCAGAGGAGACACTGATGACCTGGGTAAATCCGGAGGGGCCCCTTTGGGGAGCCCAGCCTTAAAGCTTAACGGAATGAATATTTCAGACTAAAGCACAGTGACCAACCTGCAGCCTGCACAGCTGCTGCCCCCTGGCTACCTTACCTCGAGGTGTAGTTACCCTCTGGGATCTGGCACCACTTGCCTACCAGCTTCCTTCCCAAGACCGAAATAACCCACTGAGGCCAAACCGCAAGGGGAAACCACAGAGTCTTGGCCAGGCTGACGTAGCCGGTCGGGAAAAAGAGCGGGACGGTCACAGAACATGCATGTACCACAGATGTGCCTATCAGCTCAGTGCACAGGCCTGTCTGGGTGTCCCCTCTGACATTTACATGGTTCCCATCAAAGCAGGAACACAGCTGACTCATGGCAGCTAGGCCTCGTTCACCCAAACCTTTGTAGCAGGGCGGCCATTCTTTGAGCACCCCCCTGGCCTTTCTAGACCCACCCCACTCCCACCCCAGCAGGCCCCTTAAGAACTGCACAAACGGTTGGGCTGGTTGAGTCACTAAACCAGTTCTGAACAAGCCCCAGGGGCCCAAAATAAAGTCCATCACCACACAGCAGTGCATACTCAGCTCTGGGGTCTCCTCTCACAGCCAGAGCTCTTCTGTGCCAGTCTGTTCTCACAGCCCCTCAGCCCAGCTCTTCCTACCTGGAGCTTAGCCCTCTGGCACCAGCCTCTAGGCTCCCAAACTTCTAGGCCCCAACTCCATCTGGGTTTCCAAAGAGGAGCCTCCAGGGTCTTTGGGCTCAGGGTCTTCCCTGCAGGAGACCTTCATACACCCCACAGCCTCTCTTCACTTGCCTACACACACTCCTCCCCTACATTGCAGGCTCCTGCTGCTTGTTATAGGGCAATCACCCCCTCCCCACGTGTGGCTTATTCTGCACTCAACCCTGGCCCTTAAGGGACAAGCGGCCCTGTTACAATCTTCATGGGCTGGATCACACATGTGGGTGTTGCGTGGAAGTTGCATGGCTCTGGTAACCTTTGCAGAGTCCAGTGGCTCTCATGGCAGCCTTTGAGCGACTGGATCACACGCGTGACCTTCGGACAGAGCCACACATGTTGCGTGCGGCATTTATGTGGCTCTCAGCATGACCTGCAAACCGACAGGTCGCGTGTGGCTCTCACGGAGATCCCACCATTCTCACTGCCCTCTTCCAACAGGTGGCTCACTTCTGCTTCACCTGCCGCTTTTGTGGCATTTCAGAACACACACAAGCTGTGCTCATGTCATACAAACCCACAACCACCCATCTGCCATCAGGGTGAGAGAGCAGCTTAGTGCAGTACAACCCCTGCACAACACCGGGCAGCAACACCCCATGCCGACTCACCACAATCTGTGTCTCATTGTCCGGCAGGGTGTCAATGGCCAAGCTACCTCCTACTAGGTCCTGGCTGATGCGGGTCTCGTCGGTCTCCAGCAAACTCTCCCGAATCTTCCGCCTCCAGCCCAGCAGCTTTGTCCCTGTTCCCCGCTCCAAGGAGTGGCCGGGGAGGCGTCCTGTGGAGCACACATGGGAAGGGGAATCAGCAGGCCTGTGGCAGAAGGAGCCAGCAAGGTAGAGAGTCTATGTCTGGGATCAAATGCCACGTTTTACTCCAGGGCTGCCAATTCGGATCCACCTTGGTGATGCAAAGGGACTGTCAGGTGTGACCAGGAGAGATGAGTTTGGTGTCTCAGGCCAGACCTTAGGGGACATCACCTAAGAACACCTGGACCTGAGCTAACCCCCAGCAGGGGGGCCAGGGGCTGAATGGGCTGTGGGAGGTAAATTTAAGGGCTCAGACGCCGGTGATGACAGCAGTAGAGATGGGGCCCTGAGAGATGGGGCCCATTCGCAGGGCTTTGGGGAAAGGGGGTGGCAAACTGGGAGGCTTGCTCTGCCCTATGAAGAAAACAGAGTTTCAGCCTCCAAGGCTGTCACGCCAACTCTTTTCACCAGCTACCCTGACTACCCCCCACCCCAGGACACAGAGTGTAGGAGAACCCCTGGGAATGCTCCAGCCCCTAAGGGGAAGGCACTGGCTATTCAAAGCAGCATTATGCTACAGCCTACAGACCACAGCCAAGATCAGGAGCCCATTATGCCAAGCACTGCCCGTTCACAGAATAAGAGACAGTCCCTGCCCCAAAGAGCTTGCAGCTAAACAGACTACAGGTGAGAAGGGAAACTGAGGCACAAAGCAGGGAAAGGACATGCCCCAGGTAACTGGCAGAGCTGGGAGGAGAACCCAGGAGTCCTGACTCTCATGCCCTAGTCACTGGGCTACAGTGATGTAACCCACAATGGACTAAGAGCTACTTGAAACTCTGCCAGGCACCTGACCTCACCCCAGGGACCTCCCCTCAGCCAGCCCTGCCCTCAAAAGCTTCTGTGCCATCCACTGCAGCCTGGACACCCAGCCTGGCACCTCCTGCCATGCCATCACTCCTGCTGCCAGCTGGCATTCAGTCACGTGGTAGAGAAGGAGGAGACGTGATGGGGTCAGCTGAGGAAGATGAACCCCATTGATCCCAGCATGTGGGGTTCAGACCCCCCCTTTGAAACCATGACAAGGTTCCAGGTCTGTGAGATTACAGAGGGACAAGGGGTGGTGGCTGGGGGTGGGGAGGGAAGGGGTCCCTAAAGGATTAGTAAACCTGCCTTAGAGTGATAGACTCCAGGAGCTCAATCTGTTCAGTTTAACAAAGAGGTTATGGGGAGAGATCACAGCCTAGAAGTACCTCAGGATGGGGGGGACGACACAAATATTTGACAGGGGGCTCTTCAGTCTAGCAGAGGAAGGTCTAACCCGAGAGGATGGCTGGTAGTTGAAGCTGGAACGAAGGTGTAGCGTTTTAACCCTGAGAGTAATTAGCCACTGGAACAACTTGCCAAGCCACATCCGATGAAGTGAGCCGTAGCTCACGAAAGCTCATGCTCAAATAAATTGGTTAGTCTCTAAGGTGCCACAAGAACTCCTTTTCTTTTTGCGAATACAGACTAACACGGCTGTTCCTCTGAAACTTGCCAAGGTTTCTCCATCATGGGGAATTTTTAAATCAAGGCTGGATGTTTTTCCAACCGATCTGCTCTGGGAATTATCGGGGGATGTTCTAGGGCCTGTGCTATACAAAAGGTCAGAGGAGATGATCATAAACGTTCCTTTCCGGCCCTGGAATGGCTCTTTATGGATGACAGGGAGCAGCGAAATGCCATGCCCTGGGCCAGCACAGACGGGGAACCCTGGGGGCAGCTGCAGTCAGAGGGGTTATGGAGGAACAGTCTTAATAGCATAGTCCTCTGGTTACCTCTGGCTCCCACAACTCTCCGCTGTCATGATGGAGGCAGGTCAGGTCCAGCCCCACTCCCAGAGCAAGCAAACCCGGGGTCATTGCCAACACCAACGTCAGCTCTACGCGGCCTTTCCAGGGAGCTGCCGATATGCAAATGAGCCAACCGTGTCAGTTGCATAAAACATCCCACATGCAGCGGAACAAAAAGTGTCTCCTTTAATGGGGGTGTGTGGGAGGGGGGCAGCTCTGCCCTTGGAGGGGCTTCTCACCCCTAGCTGCTGATCCAGCTGCAGTTGAAACCAGCTGCATAGGGGATGTGATGGGGATGGCAGCAGAGCCCCTGGCTGAGTCTGGAAAGATGCCAGTTTGGCCACCTCTGCACAGGGTGATCGGGGGCTCATGGGCCCACAGGCCACGCCCTGGGTCGGCTTGCTGAGCACAGGTGCCTAGGGTTGCCATCAATGTTCCCTCTAATTTTTGACAGGCTGTGTGCGCAAAAGGTTTCTTCTGTGCAAATTTTTGACAGGTGTGTGCGAAAAATTTCTTCTGTGCAAATTTGTGTGTGTGCGGTGTTTTGCCGTGTGCGCAGGGTTTAGGATCTGTGTGCGTGTACACACGCACACAGCTTAGAGGGAACAGTGGTTGCCATCTGTACGACACAGGGGAGGTTCTGCCCAGAGGTTCTGCCCAGAGGTCCCCTAGAAAGGTGCAGGAAGGAGGGAACCTCCCCCGCGGTGCGTGGTTCTCTGCACTGCTCCTCCCCACACTGTGCAGTTGTTTATACTGGAAAGGCTGCCTGGGCCTCTGGCTGAGTAAGCCCTTCCCCTGTCAGCCAGGGCGTATGGACAGCGTGTACTGAGCCCTGGGACAGCGTGCCAGCTGGGCTTGGGGGTGGTGCAGGAGTGCAAAAGGCGCTTCGGGACACCGAGTCTCTGCAAAGGGCTCCAGGGGTTAGCACTCAGAGCCGGGGCATGCTGCAGCCAGACCCCCAACCCCTGCACGTTCACACCCGACGTGTGCCACAGTCAGACCCACAACAGCCACCTGCATGCTCATGCACTTCTACACCCCGTGCAGAAACTCACAATCACGTTAATGATACAGCCAACCCAGTCCTTCGGCAAGTCCACTGCCAAAAACAATGCAAAGACAGCTGACATGCACGTGCAAACCTACATGGGACTCTGGTGCACAGGCACACAAAGCACACACAAAGACTGACGCAGGCAAAACAACCCGATACATGTATATCTTTAACTCTGTTAAAAAAAACTGACATGCAAAATACATACACCCAACAGCAACACACAAGACAAGACATACACATGCACACCCCCTACCAAAAGCCCACAAAAACCACCTCCCCAAAACACTGAATTCCACACAAACCACAGACATTCACACCCACTCCTGCCCATGCAGATTTTACAGCACAGTGTATGTCGGCGTGACGTGTCTTGCACAAAAGCACCCAGGGGAAGGCTGCGCGAGCAGGGTGTGTTGGCAATTTCCCATTGGTTTCACTGGGCGCAGGGTCCTTCGTGAGTGACACCCTTCTGGACAGTCCATACCAGCCAGCCATGGTCTCTCTCGGAGCCTCCGGGCCTGGGAAGGCGTTCCAGGCCTAGCAGCCCTGCTCCTGTCCCTCTGCCTCCATGGGGCAGGGATGCTGTAGGGCGGTGAGAGAGTGAGGTCAGCCAGCCAACGGACTCACTAAGAGCTCCCTGAGTCCAGGCCCTGTGGCCAGGCTGGGACACTGCCCTGGCCTTTTGGACGATGGCCCAAGTCGCAGCCTGTTATTCCGGGATGTGCTGCTCCCATGGGCTGGCGCAGCCTGGCTTCACTGCAAAGCCTGCACGTAGCCAGCCACGCGGGCTCTGGGGAGAGATGGATTGAGGGCCCGGGAGCCCAGAGCTGGGTCCCATATGCTGGGGGCCCCAAGAAGTCAATAAGGCCCCATGGGGGGCTGTCCCAGTGGTGCACAACACCCCCTTCAGTCTAAGCCATGGTGGGTTGGCTCTGCCCTGCTCCACTGCTAAAAGGGGACCTCCCCCGCCACCCGGCAAACTGGATGGAAGGGCTCACATCACAATCCCAACTCCTCCCTTCCCTCTCCAATGCAGGGAGTTCCTACAGCCACCAGGAGGTGCTCCATCCACAGTCCTAGTGACACGAGACCCCTTCCCCCCTTATCCCCACCTGCCTGGGCAGCTAGCTCTCCTCTTTGTGCTACTGTCCCCACACCCTCTGCTTCTCCAACTCCAGGCCTGTCCTGATGCCACTGGAGAATTTAGGATTCACTCAGACAGGCTCTGTCAGTGCAGACGGCAGCAACTGCTGGACTCCCAAGTTCCTCTTCCCATGCCCCTCGATGGGCTCCCCATGCAACCCGCTCTGTTAGTGCCCCTCACTCCTGACCTGCAGCCCCCCTTCACTATCCCAGCCTGGGCTCTCTTCCCCCCACCCCACTGCTCTGCTGATGCCTCTCAGGGTAATTTGCTGAGTGGCACCGAAAAGCGGCGGGCGCTGAGGGTTGTGATCAGACACCGCGGGATTAGGACCCGGCTGTGGAAGTGTCTTGCACAAGGGCTTCTACCCCAGCCCTCGCACCCTGGAAGCCTCAAGCCCACACACCGGCCTTGGGTTCTGCAGAGGGTGTCGCTCCAACTCGCAAATAGCTGCAAGCATTTTGTAGCTCCCAGCTGCTCAACTCCCCCTGCACAGGGCTGTTCACAAAAAGCAGCTTCCTCCTCGCACGGGGGCCTTGGCTCCTCAGGTAGCTGGGGGCTACTCCACCCAGCTTACTTGCGAGTGTGTGTGTGGGGAGGGGACCTCAGCAGCAGCCCCTGCTGGCGAGGGAGTTTCCCCTCAGGATGAGCCTGAGCAGTGAAATTCAGATCCAGTTGCTGATCTGGACTTCCTCCGACGTGGAGAGAGTTTGGGTCAGTTCTGGCTCAGATCCATGGTATGGAGATGGGCCAGAGCCAGGAAGTTCTGATCCAGATCCAATCTTCACCCAGACATCGAGAGAGACTGGGTCAAGGGGTTTTCGCTCAGATGTGTTGCCCGGAAGTCACACAAATAGTCCATGGCAGAGGCTTCTAATCAACTAGTCTGACCTCTGACGTGACACATGCCAGACAGCCTCACCCTTCTGCACTGAGATTTAATCACAAGCTCATCCTTCTCCTGCTAACAGCCCCAGCCACAGATTCTGACTCTGC